GTACCAAATATATACAGTACATAAGTAGCAATAAAGTGAAAAGTACCAAATATATACAGTACATAAGTAGCAATAAAGTGAAAAGTACCAAATATATACAGTACATAAGTAGCAATAAAGTAAAAAGTACCAAATATATACAGTACATAAGGTAGCAATAAAGTGAAAAAGTACCAAATATATACAGTACATAAGTAGCAATAAAGTAAAAAAAATCAACAAAAAATAAGTAATGATAGCATTATTAAAAATAGCCAACATTCAACTTAAATTCACACATAAAAGGCACTACCAAATAAACTCAACAAACTTTAATATATTTTTATTAAAACAGTCGGTATTACTATCTATGGTACAGCTCTTCATTCACCCCACTTATTATTTAGCTTCAGCACCAGCTGACTTCAAAGTTCCTACTAGACAGATAAGCTCGTTTCCGTGTGAACAAGAGCCCTGCAGAACTAAACAAATGTTCACATGCTGCAAATTTACTGAATTTCCCACTGTTGTATTCAGTAAAAATAAGTCTTGCAAATAAGGCCATGGATGATTATTTGTGTCAGACATGATGTTCACATTGGGACGAAGTTATCACAGTCAACAGTAGATGTAAAATGGCCGCGTTTTGTTCCTGCTCAGCAGCACGGGAAATATCACTGCTTGTGATTGTCTTACTTGAAAAAGTAGGCATGCTCTGACTGATGTAAACAAAAACTATCACCATGGCAACCAGTGTGATTTTCTCCAATCGTGTCAAATGTAACAACAGTCTTATAAAAGAAATGTAGTGGAGTAAAAGTAAAATGTTTTTAGAGTACTTAAGTAACAGTAAATCCCAGAAAAGTTACTTACATAGTGTAACAAAGTAACACTACTTTGTTACACCCCAACTCTGAACATGTAGTATTTATTTCTAATTTTCTTTATGTTTTTAGCAATTAAGTTTGATATTCTCTGTTACCTCTTTCTTAAGAACATACCTGTCTTGAATTAAACACAATTTAAAAATATTCCTAAGTCTGTCCCACATCACCTTTTATGTCATAATTCCAATTTTCCGATGTTAAGTCTTGTCTTATGGTTTCAAAAATAGCTACCTGATAGGAGCATAGTTTGGAAATTTGTTAATTTTGCTGATGATACAAAATCTTAGGTCTGTCTGACTGTAACAAGAATGTTATGATTTTACAGAAGTCAACTGGGCAGCTGAAAAAGCACATGGCAGTTTACATCTAATTATAATAAGTATAAGGTTATACATAAAAGTTATCATAATATATATTATTAACATTTATACTGGAATCCTCATATTTACAAGGATTTTTTGTTTGTTTTGAATTTTGCGCAAAGCTACACGAGGGCTATCTGCGCTAGCCGTCCCTAATTTAGCAGTGTAAGACTAGAGGGAAGGCAGCTAGTCATCACCACCCACCACCAACTCTTGGGCTACTCTTTTACTAACAAATAGTGGGATTGGCTGTCACATTATAATGCCCCCAAGGCTGAAAGGGCAAGCATGTTTGGTGGGATGGGGATTCGAACCCGCAGCCCTCAGATTGCGAGTCGAGCGCCCTAACCACCTGGCCATCCCGGGCCTTACGAGGATGAAGGAAAATTTATTGGAGTATAGATTGTCCAACTCTTAGGCCTTCAAAGAAGTGGTATCTTTGAAGTGATAAGGCTAAAAGAATTAGGGGTTATAGAAATATTAAATTGGTTGCAAGTTTAAAAGACCTGTGGTTTCATTGTACATGTCAAAGGTCATGTTATCGTAAAGGGTTCAGGGTAAGGCTACATATTCACTTAAATCTCCAGATGAGGCAGTTTTATTACTCCAATCAAAAGTGTTTAATTTTTGGAACAAATTATCAAATGGAATGGTAGAGACTAAATCTTTATCGGAGTTTAAGAAAAGGGTTGATGAATATTTGGGAGGAACAGGGCTGGATTAATTGATTAGTTTTCTGTTTGTTACAGGGAGTTATTGGTAGTCAGGACAACCTTGATACTTCACAGATTTAAACAAAACAGTAACAACTTAGAAGTATAACAAATAGATATTATTATGTATGTACTGTGGAAGAAGAAATTGTAATATGTTTGCAGAGAGTCAGCAAAATGAAAAGGTAAACCTTACACAACTTGTCACACTATGAGACAAGAGTTAAATGTCTACATTTAAATATTTTTTGGACAAATTATTACAATAGTTTTCTTTATGATGTGGTGCATGCTGTTATTATTAGTTTAAATTAACTTGTAGGTGTTCGGCACATGAGAGATGTAATCTGAACCAAAATAGAGTGTAAATACCCTACCACTTTTAAAATGTTTGAAATACTTGACAAACAAAAGTTTGTCTTGATATACAATACAGTACTTTTAAAGGGAACAACTGATGTGTGTTTGTCAATAAAAAGATTAGCACAAAAGTGAAATGATTAGTCTGCAAATGATACTAAATTAATGGGTTATTTCAACTGTACTAAAATTGTTGAAGTTTTGCAGGGTGATATGGACTGCATGGTGAGCTGAGCTAACACCTGATGCCATTTAACCTTAGTAAACACACGGTTATGAATATTAGTTATCATAACATTCATTATTATATGGCCTTGCAAGGGAAACTCTAAGTTGATAAAGAGAGTAATCTAGGCATACCTATTACAAATAATATAAACCTTCTCAACAATGTACGTTATCTAGTACTAATCCAAACAATATTTCAGGCAGTATATATAGAAATATTAAGTATAATTGAAGAGGTCACCAGTTTACTATGAAAACTGCATTCAGTTTTGGTCATCTTATTCAAGAAAGAAGTCAGAGTCTTTGGACAGGATTCTAAAAAAGGAGCTACTAGTATAATTCAAAGTTTGAGGGGGTTATCTTACGAGAAAATATCTAGGTGTTTTTTTTGTTGCTAGAGACAAGACTCAGAGGGCAGTGTTACTTTACTATTAAGTGATTATAGAAAATATCTAGGTGTTTTTTTTGTTGCTAGAGACAGGACTCAGAGGGCAGTGTTACTTTACTATTAAGTGATTATAGAAAATATCTAGGTGTTTTTTTTGTTGCTAGAGACAAGACTCAGAGGGCAGTGTTACTTTACTATTAAGTGATTATAGAAAATATCTAGGTGTTTTTTTTTTGTTGCTAGAGACAGGACTCAGAGGGCAGTGTTACTTTACTATTAAGTGATTATAGAAAATATCTAGGTGTTTTTTTTTTGTTGCTAGAGACAGGACTCGGAGGGCAGTGTTACTTTACTATTAAGTGATTATAGAAAATATCTAGGTGTTTTTTTTTTTTTGCTAGAGACAGGACTCAGAGGGCAGTGTTACTTTACTATTAAGTGATTATAGAAAATATCTAGGTGTTTTTTTTTTGTTGCTAGAGACAGGACTCGGAGGG